TTTTTTTTTTTTTCAATACCCAATCGACAGATCTGTTCAGATGTGTTCATTCCGTTATTTTCAGTTATATTCATTTATATCTATCATTAAATGTGCAAGACAAGCAGTTGGCAATTCTTCTCAAAATGCAATTTAAAAGTTACATTTAAAAGCAATCATTTTAATTCCGTTTTTAAAACGGAATTAATTTATTTAATTGAATAAAATTAATTTATTTCAATTAATTAATTAAATTTTTACATTAAATTTTTTTAAAATTATTTTTTGTTTTCTTTTTATTTTGTTTTATTCTATTTTATTATTTATATTTTATCTAATTTTTTAAATATTTTATTTGATTTATGTTTTTATGTAGTATTTTATTTTGTATTTGTATTTTATTTTTGTTTTCATATTTTTTTTTAATATATTTTAAATTGTATTATATTGACATACATATGGCACTGTAAGACTAGAGACATTTCTGAGTAAATGGCATGAATAACAGGAATCCTCAATCATTGATTTCTACCCTGATGACTTTGCCATTGATTTGAATGGGAAGAAGTACGCCTGGCAGGGTCAGCACATAACTTTGAGCTTCACAGTCTGAACAGAAACGGCGAGTACTGTATTTTTTTCAATCATTGTGATTTGCTCTTCTCCTCTTGACAGGTGTTGCTTTGTTGCCGTTTGTCGACGAGCGGAGGTTACGAGCAGCATTAGCAGACGTCTACCCTGATTTGTCCCCAGAGGAGGGTGAGGCATATTTGGCTTATTTATGAATGCCTAAATGAGGTCAACCAGAAATACTGGCCAATCATGTTGCATTATGTATTCTCTTTAAAAAAAAAATTGTTTGAGTAAGTGGTTTGTTTAGTTTTTTTTTTTTTAAACTGACTGTACCATCTGATGGTTGTTTTCAGTAAGAAGGAACAGTCTCGGAAGTGATGTCATATTTGTGGGGAAGTCCCACCCCCTTTGTGATTTCATCCGGGAGCTCTACCGTGCAGAATCTCATGAGGTACTGATCTTCCTCTATGGTTTTCTTTTGTTCACGCTCATGTGAACCTAAACTAAATCAAATTAGAGCGAAATGATTAATACATTAATCATGATTTTGGCTTCCGATGATTCTAAAATAACATAATTTAGATAAAATGAAAAATTCTGTTTCTGCATTGTCATTAATCCAGTAAACAAATTTTATTCTCTCTTTCTGAACCTTGGTGTGCTTTCAACCCTCCCTAAAAGCACAAACAAATCAATAAATGTGTTATAATATATTATTAAAAAAAAAAAAAAACTTTTTAAATTTAATTTTCGGTGTCTGAATATTTGGCACATTAGGGATGTTTTAGTATTTTAGATTATCAAACTTTTCCAACCCAGGAGTTAGTGTTATTTTAGTATTATTTCTGTAGTAATTTTATGTGCTTTTGTCATTATTAGTTACAATTTTTTTAAATGTTCTTAAAAAAAAATTCAGTTTGTCATTTTAATACTTTAACAAAAAATAGAAATGTTGCCTTGGCAACTAACTGAAATAAACCCCCCACCCCCCCCACACACACACACACACTTTTTATTATATACATTTATATATAAACTCATGTAAAAAGTATATACAATTATTTTTTCAGCTTTATTTACTGATCTTCCTGTATGTTCTTTACAGTGATTATAAAAACAAGATCATTTCAAGATCATTCATTTTATTCAGTTTATTTTTGTTTTTTATTTAATTTCTTTATTTGTTTTTCAGTTGAGTTATATTTAAAATTCAAGGAGATTCACTTTCTAAAAAGACCTTTAAAAAAAATTCAATAAATGTGTGAATTTTTTTCAATATTGACCAAAATACTTATTTTATTATTTTATGCCATAATTCAAATAGCGCTTTGTCAAATGCAGTGTTAATTTTGACAGGCATTTTTGATTTAGTCTTAGTCTTTATATTGGGACGAAAATGCTTAAAGGGGTCATATGATTTATAAAGAATATCTCTTTGGATTTGAGACTTTAGTCTTTGCAACTTTACAGATCTTCTTTATGCACCAAGAGCTTGTAACACTCCAAAGAGAAAGGACAAATTTAAATCGCATCATATGACCCCTTTAATAGTCTTAGTCACATTTGAGTCTTTCATAGTTTGTCTAGTTTTAGTCGACGATGTCATTGCATTTTTGTCAACTTTTAGTCATTACTTTGTCAAACTACAGTTACCAACATTTATTTTGGTAGCTATTTTATATGTAGTTTTCAAAATAAAAAAGGTAATTAATTTCTCTCTCTTTAGACCAAATCAATTAAGCTTATGAGAAATTTGAATCAAGGATTGAATTTGGAAAAACTTGAATAAATGATGACAATTTTCATTTTTGGGTGAACTATCCCTTATATATATAATTTTTGAAAAAGAAGCAGAATAAGACAAATACAAAAGATACAAATTAAACTCCTTTTTCCGATACAGTTGGTTTACTTGATATATTTAACATCTTTTGTTGATAATGACACATTAATGACACCGATAGGTACTTAATTTGGAATGCTGTCCCTTTAAGACGGAAGGCATTCATGTAATACTGACACGCGTTCAGTTTTCACCCACCTGTTTACATTCACTTAATCCATAACCGACTGTATTTACGTGAGATACTCTACACCAGGGATCCTCAAATCTGGCCCACACGATCCACTTTCCTGCAGTTTCGCTCTAACCCTAATCAAACACACCTGAGCATGTTAATCAATGTCTTCAGGATCATTAGAAAATCACAGGTAGGTGAGTTTGGTCAGGGTTGGAGCTAAACTCTGCAGCGCATTGGCCCTCCAGGGCAAGATTTGAGGAACCCTGCTCTACACGATAGACATTTGGACTGCTGTGTGTGTATTTGAGCACTGAGAACTGATCGCGCGCTGTATATGAAAACTGAAGAAGTGGAGCGTGCACGAGAGAGAGCACTTATATCCGCCTATCCCGCCTTCACTAACTTTAAGTTAATCGACAACGAATTGTGACAGCCTATAGGATGTATTTTTAATGTCCGGTAGTCCTCAAATAACATCATAGTGCCATCTCGTCTCGTTAACGAAGATGCGGCATAAATTTAGTTTTTATCATCAGATATTACTTTTAGCTCGTCAACGTCTCCTCTTAGTCACAAAAAAAATGTTTAACGAATATTTTTCGTCGTCGTCTTCGTTGACTAAATTAACACTGGTCAAATGGAATCGCTCTGGACCAAAAGCTCAGGGATCCTTACAATCTCTGTCTGTAATTTTCCAATCCTCTCTCTTCAAGGACACTGAGATCCCTGCAGAACTTTGCCATGGAATCCAAGGTATATTAAATCTAGATGAAGACCCTATTCTACCAGATAAGTAAGGAGACAACAGATTTATCTCTTGTTTTTTTTTTTATGCTTTTCCGTGATTTGCCATTACCTGGGCAGTGTCTGTTGAGGCACTTGAGACTAAAGCCTTACAAATCCTGTGAAACACCATTTTTGTTTTCCTCAGACCAGTGGAGTCGCCGATCCCAACGCTGAGAGACATCAGCAGCAACTGTGCTATTGGGTAAGAGTTTGTTTTACACATCAACCGATTATCAGCCAATCTCAAAGTGGTCAAATATCATCTGATTCATAGGAATGATCGGTATATAGACCTTTCTTTCTTTTATTAAGTTGCTATTTTCGTTTGGTTTACTCAAGGACTTGTGTCAGGCATTGAAACATCGGCCTTGTCCTGCTCATATTTGCTGGTTCCTCTAGAGGTCAAACACTGCATGAAACCCTGAGATGTTCAACAAAACTTTAGATGAAGTCTGGATTGAGGCATTCATCTGAATGGCTCTGGAATGAGATCTATCCAGGCGTTGCACTTAAATGTTTGTACTTAAATACTGATGGTTTCTGGTTGGCAGAATCAAATTCAAGGATCCGCAGTATGATGATGGTTTTGTGTTCAAGGCTGTTGTCCTACCAGGGGCGAAGTAAGTCCTGCACTATTCAATATTAAGACCTATTGAATATTTACGTAAAAGCGAGTTTGAATGGACTTTTCAATGATGCAGTGACATTTTAATATTTTATATTTATGCATTACAATTTCTCTCTTCAGGATCCCTAACAAGGTTCTAAAACCAGGAGATTGGGAGCGGAGTAACCGCGGCCCATGGAGACCTCAACTGGGATTTAACCCAAACCGCCAACAAGCCCATTTGGACCAATCGGCTTTCAGAAAGCTCAAGTAAGTAATGAAAATCCCACCGAATCCATCCGTTTATTTGGTTGGGTTCTTGCATTTAATGCTTTTAAGTGGTATTGTGTAAAAAGAAATCAAATTAGTGTAATAGTTGGTATAAAACGGGCTAATTAAACACATGGTGAATTCAGGCTTCAGTGACGAGAGATGAATTATGCATGCTGTTTAGAGGTGGTGTATGCAGATGAATGCCCACCAAAGACTTAATTTCTTAATGAAAGCTGTTATTGGGTTTGATTGGATGGTGCAGACAGGTGTTCTTGGACTTCAGATAGTTCTGTGATCTCTAATTTTCAGTCTTTATTTCATTAAGACTGAATGTTTGGCATATTAGAGACATTTCAATATTTTAGATTGGGGTTATCAACCTTTTTCAACCCAAAACGGTGTTATTTTAGTATTTATATTAAAATATTTATTAATATTTTGAATTAGTTTTTTTATATTTTCAGTTCTCATTTTAATTTGTTTGTTTTAATTTTGCGCTTTTGTCATTTTAATTAGTTTTTAAATTAAAATCTAATAGTAAGCTTAGCTTATCTTTTCTTTTCTTATCATCTTATCTTATCTTAGGCTTTTGTTTCCGTTTTAGTAAGTTTAGTACTTCAACTTGAACCATTGTTATTTTATCATTGATGTGCTATTGTTGTTTTTCTTGATATTTTAAATTAAAATATATTTTCTGTTTTCAGTTTAATTTTAGTTAGTCATTTTATTTTTTTTATCACCTTTTATTTTTGTTTTTAAATGTCTATATATTATTTATCTATTAATTTTTACTATTTTAGTAGTTCAGCTGAAACCATTTCGTTTGTTAGTTGCCAAGTCAACATTTCTCATTTTCATTTAGTTGATTTGTGAAATATTTTATTTTAGGTAAGTTCATTTTCTTTCATGTCTGTCTGTCTGTCTGTCTGTGTGTATAATATCAGTTATTTTTTAATGAGAATGACTCCAGCAATTAAATAAGTTTAATCTAAATGTATACGTGCACACAAACACACACATTAACATTTATATTTTATTTTAACTTTATTTCAGTTGCCAAAAACTATTTTGATACTTTTAGTTTTACTTACTGATAGCGACCCAAAAATCACTCTCTTAGACTCTCAGCCAGTTCTGGGACAAACCAACCAACTATGGACCAGAAATATAAAAAAAAGAAACAACCAGTTAAATGCATTTAGAAATAAGTTTTTAATTATTTAATATTAAATTATATACAATTTTTTGAAACCCTCATGGACCTCCAGAGGCTAAAAACCCTGATCTTTAACATATTTAAACTTCTAACTTATGTAAAACTTAATGCTTGCTCTCTCTCTCTCTCTCCAGTCACTATGTGGACCGAAATCAAGGGACGGGTCTGTTTGGCTCTGGCCCGCCTTTCGAGGCTCAGCATAGGGGCGGTCAGTACAGCAATGCCCCGCCCCCCAGAAACTATCACCAAGGAAACTACCGTCCACCCCAAAGAGACCATTACCCTCAAAACCAATGTGAGTTTTACACTTTCCTAAGCCTCTTTCAGACAGAGATTTTGGAAAATACACGGGTAATGTGTCCCGTGACTTGTCCCAGGATCGTTTGATTTTGGTTCATTCACACTGCCAGGGTTTTTCCGGAATCTGTGTGTGTTCACACATCCCATAAAGAACCTGTAAAGACACATGACATTAGGATATGATGTGTAATGTCACGTGTACCGTTTCACTAAGCTGGTGAACGATCTCAGCTTCAACGCGGATAGTGAGGAGCTCCCTGATCTCTGAACACACAAGCCACTGACAATTTTCCGGGATCAACACGCTGTGTGAAAGGGGTTCTAGAGTAAGACTGTCTGGCTGGATTTGTGTGGGGGAAGTCATCTTTTAAGATAATTTAAAAAATAATTTAAAAAACATTATGGTTGTAATTGCTGGTTATTCGATGTACTGCTAATCCCAATAATCCTTTGGATCTTAATAGCAGCATGACCATACATTTTTTGTTTTTAAGATCCAACCAATAAAATAATTTATTACTTAAATATCCAGCAAAAGTAACTTACTATGATGTGCAGTTCCTCATACCATGGCTTTTGTCATACAATCCACCATTATTCCAGCGTCCCAGAGACGGGTGTTGTGTCCAAGCAGCGTTTAATACAGTAGTTTGGTGACACTGAGGGACAGGAGTCGCTCTTAACGTGTACAGTGACCTTCTGTCCTCCTCAGTGTCTCTGTCGCCCCCGTGAGTGGCTCCCGTCTCCTGTGCTGCTCTCCTCCGCCGTCACTTTGATGTACCAATTTGCAAGCTGATGAATAATCGCATCTGTGGGCGAATGGAAGCCGCCCTGCTGCCACTTGATGCAAATAGAGGTTTGGGGGGTTTAGCTGATCACTGCTGCTCTTCACTGGCCTGTGCGCTGCGGCCCTCATGCAAAACCCTCCAGTTAATCGTACATCACGCTAACCGTCCTGTATGTCATTCATGTTTCTATGAACAAGGCAATCAGAGTAAATATTCAGGATTTTTTTACTTGCGATTCTTCAGCTGGTCTGAGATTAAATTTTTTTTTTTTGTTTGTTTTTTTTTAGCTTCTTTGTTAGTGAATTGTAATAGTGACTTAATGTCAGTTTTTGGATAAACTATTCTTTTATTGCTCCAAATTTTTAATTGTCTACTGTGGAACACAAAAAGAGATGTTTAATACGATGTTCACACTGCTCTTTTCCATATGATGAACATGGTTGGTGATTTTTATTTATTTATTTATTTTATTTATTTATTTATTTATTTTATGCCAAGCTATAAGTTTTTTTTTGTTTTTGTTTTTTTTTTTGTTTGTTTTTGGTTCTGTTCAGCAAGGATGCATTAAATTTATTAAATGTGACTGTAAAGACATTTGTTACAAAATATATTTCTATTTTAGATAAATGCTTTTCATTTTACATTTTCTATTCAACAAAAAAAATGTTTCAAGGTTTACACAAAAAAAATATGAAGCAGCACAACTGTTTTCAACATTGATGATAATCAGAAATGTTTCTTGAGCAGCAAATCAGCATATTAGAACGATTTCTGAAGGATCATGTGACACTGAAGACTGGAGTAATGATGCTGAAAATTCAGCTTTACATCACCAAAATAAATTGGGTTTTAAAATATTCAAATAAGTTATAAAAAATAAATATAAAAATATTAGAATATATACGAGTAATGGCTGAATAATGGTATATGAGTAATGGCTTACAATATATTCAAATCGAATATAAAATAAATATAAAAAATATATTTTAAAAAATGTTTTAATTTGTAATATACGTTATGTTATTACTGTTTTTACTTTATTATTGTTGTTTTTTATTCATGAGGGGGGTTTTGTGTTCGTTTGTTTAATCTTTTTATTTTAATATTGTTTGATTTCAGCTTTTTCTTGCCATTAAAATAGCCTTTAGTGCTGACATTGCATTATGCAACCTACTTCTATATCAGTGAAGCTGATTTTTTTTTTTTTTTTCCAGTTTTTCTGTGATCACTGACTTCAGAATGTTGTACGGGAGTCATTTATACTTTTTATGGTGCTTTTTTTTTGATTTTTTTTTTTTTTTTCAGTTTTTCTGTGATCACTGACTTCAGAATGTTGTACGGGAGTCATTTATACTTTTTATGGTGCTTTTTTTTTGTTTTGTCCTTGGAGCTCAACAGCCCCATTCCCTTTCATTGAAAGGAGCAGCATGAGCATTTTCCCAAATGTCTCCTTTTGTGTTCCACCCAAAAAATGAGATTTTGCTTTTCTGCAATTCCACTCATCCTTCAACCATCACGTAGTTGCGTTGATAACCTCGTGGTGTTTTCTCAGACCTCTCTGCTGGTACTGCTTTTCTCTAGAGGAGTGTGTCTGTGTGCCAGATACCAAATCCTTGTTAACTTTTCCCAGCTCGCTGTCTGTCTCCCTCTCCCTCCTGCGGTGTCGGCTCAATGCGGAGTTCCCAAGATGCGCTGAAGGCTTTTGTTAACCCTAATCAAAACAGCTGGTGCTAAAGGACCAACTAGTGTATTACAGTCCTGCGGTCTTCATTCTATGGATATTGATAAGCTGTATTGTAGAGGTTCATTACAGGCTCATTACAGAGATCAGGGTCCATCTGTGTGTACGTCCTGCGCTCTGGGACGATGTAATCCCTGTGTTAAGTTAATGAGAACACCGTTTACTGTTGTGTTTTTAATGCGTAATCCTATTTGGGCTTTGTGTCAACTGGCTTTAACTTCCCAACATTCAGTGTGTGGACTGTGGTCGGTGTTTATTAAGAACAGGATGAATTGGCTGTAATTTTGTTTTTCGTTTGACTGGTTGTGAGATGAGCCGGGATGAATTAGTGTTTGATAATGGAGGTGTAAGTGGGTGGTCCAGCCTCTTTCTCTCACTGGTCATTAGATCTCATACTGGATTTTTGGAGGTGTTTATTAGCTGCCGAATTAAACGTCTAGGACACCTGACGGCATCTGTTGCATGCTGTTGATCACCACAGAAAACTGTGGTGTTTTTACAGTAATGCATATACAATAAAAGTTGATGGATGAAGACATTGTAGCTGAAATGCACTTATTTTAGTTGAAAGACTTATTTTCCATTGCTGAAGGTTTTTCTAAAGGTACTACATGAGATGTAGTACTAGTGGATATTTAACACTACAGATATGCTGCCTGCATAGTGCATACAGTCTGTGTAAGCACTGGAAAAGCATTATTAAAGGTATAGTTCACTCAAATTAAACTTTACCCAAAATTTACTCACCCTCAGGTCATCCAAGATGTAGATGTTTTTTGGGGGGGGGGTTTTTTTTTTTTAGAAACAGATTTGGAGAAATTTAGCATTGCATCACTTGCTCACCAATGGATGCTCTGTAGTGAATGGGTGCCGTCAGAATGAGAGTCCAAACAGCTGATAAAAACAACATAATCACACCACTCCAGTCTATCAATTAACATCTTGTGTAGTGAAAAGTACACTAGTACACTGACTTTTTTTAATGTCAAACCATTGCTTCTGGAGTCCTCTATCCATAATAGTGCCTTCCCCAGTGAAAAAGTCCATCCCCTGTTGTCCTCCCACATCAAAATCCACCAATATATTTGTTTAGAACTGTTTTGGACAGTTTCTGCTTGTAAACGCTGCTTGATCTGTGCATATTTCTCTCCTGATTCAGAAGACTTTTCCACTGGAAACATCAGTTTCAAGTTAAAAATGTTTTGATGGGTTTGTTTATTACAAACACACAGCTTTTCACTTCACAAGATGTTAACTGATGGACTGGAGGGGTGTGGATTACTTGTGGATTATTGTGGTGTTTTTATCAGCTGTTTGGACTCTCATTCTGACGGCACCCATTCACTGCAGAGGATCCATTGGTGAGCAAGTGATGTAAATGTCACATTTCTCCAAATCTGTTCCCATGAAGAAACAAACTAATTTACATCTTGGATGACCTGAGGATGAACTTATGATCTTTAATGAACTACAAATACAAGTCACATTTGCAGTCATGTTTAATGACTTTCATAGACTTCAGTGAGTTTATTTGTCTGATTTCTTCATGAACAGAGAGGTTTGTCAACTGAATGCAACTTCTTTCTGTACACAGCAGCTTTTTACTTCAATCTAATTAAGCTTGATTGCACACCACTATCTCCATGTCAAAGATTATCACGTTTAAATTTTCTGTTCACTTTTGTCCAATATTTTTGTCCTGTTTTCTTGCTCAAAGCATGATTTGTATAACTTTTAATTTGCTAGAAAAAGCCCTCTGTGCACTTTCCCCATAGGCTTCCTTTGTAAGTGCATTACTGTAAATGTTTTTTTTTTGTTTTTTTATCATTTTTGTTATTATCCTTATCTTTTTTTAAAGCTCTTTGCATTGATCCCTAGGTCATTGTATTTAAAGCCATAAAATCCTGTCGGCTTTCAAATGGGGAATCATTTTTGTTTCTTTCCGTCATTACTCCACCTTCAAGCCTACATTTGTAAATGACCGCTTTCTCTTTTGGGCTGAAGTTCTTGTCTTTGTCCCTCTCTCTCTCTCACACTCACACACACACACACACACTCTCATCTCTGCTCCTGCCCCTATAAAACAAACAGCTCGGAGCCCCGCAGCTGGGGATCACCTTGGCAACGGCGGATCAGGAAAGAAGCCGCTTGCTATTTTTTTTTTTTGAAGTCTGTCTTTGTGAAGGACCTGCAGCGCTGGAACTAGAGCACTTGAGATCGCCACAGCGCCGGCTGATGAATGCTTATTTCATTTAGCACGGGAAGAAATGCAAATGTGCCACTTTTAACATCCCCCACCTCCCCCTCCAACACTAAATCCTGTTCATATTACTGAACACAATTCACTTCATCTCTCAAACTGTGTTCCCTGAAATTGGAAGCTGATACAAATTAGGTTAATTAATTCTATCTCATTTATTTATCATTAAGACCTTTTACCCCGCTGTAGCCTGGTGTGTGGCGGTAGTTGTTGATTTGCTGCTTAATGTCAAAGAATGATTACAAATTTCATTTTATAGAAAACATCCCTCTCAGAAGTGCTTCATGTAGCGTTTGAAATATTATCTTGTTTAGCCAGTTGTGGCAGCTCTTCAGAAAATTATAGTAGTTTAAATTCAAGGTTCTGCATTAAAGCAAACATAAAAATCTAGTTTTAATCCAATTCATTTGTGTTTATTTTTTAATTATATTCTGAGTGGTGCTTGCCTATCCAAAACTTGCTGCTAAAATGCTAGGGTTTTATGGGTGGTTGCCTGCGTCTTCCTAAGGTGTTTTCAGTGCCTCTAGGTGGTTGCCAATGTGTTTTCAATGGTCTTTATTACTTTTAGTATTCTAGTGGTTGCTAGGGTGTTTGTAAGATGTGTATTTTTTTTTTAAGTCAGGTCACCTTAAGCACTTTATACAATACAGATTGTGTCAAATCAGCTTTACAGTGTCAAACAGGAAAATAGTTAAACAAGTTGTTTTAGTGTTACTATCCAGTTGCTGAGGTGTTCTAGTAGTTGCTAGGGTATTTCTAAAATGTGAATTTTTTTTGTTTAAGTGCTGCTATGCAGTTGCTAAGGTACTCTAGTGGTTGCTAGGATGTTCTAGGTGGTTGCCATGGTGTTTCTTAGATTTTTTTTTTTTTGTTCTTTGTCTCTTTTTGCTGCTAGTAGTTGCTAGGGTGTTTCTAAGATTTGTTTTTGTTTGTTTGTTTTAGTTGCTAGGATCTTCTAGGTCAGGGGTCTCCAAACTGGGTCCTGGAGTGCCGGTGACCTGCAGAGTTTAGCTCCAACTTGCCTCAACACACCTGCCTGGAAGTTTCTAGTATGCCTAGTAAGACCTTGATTAGCTGGTTCAGGTGTGTTTGATTAGGGTTGGAGCTAAACTCTGCAGGACACCGGCCCTCCAGGACTGAGTTTGGTGACCCCTGTTCTAGTTGGTTGCTCGGAGGTTTCTTAATGTCTCAAGTGAGTCCATCTTCAACGTAAATATCTGGGAAGAAAATATTTTCTTAAAAAATAAATGTTCTTGGAGCTATAATTTTCAAGGTTGTGTTTTTTTTTTTTTTTTTTTTTTACCTGAACCCAATTTTGCATTGCTTAAACATCTGGGAGGAATCAGAAGTTTGACTTTTCAGAAAGGTGAAATCGCACCTCTCCTCTCCCAAAATTTGAGGAATCATTCATGTTTCTATCATAGTTGTGCGTGACGTACAACCACTACGTAGTTTTCTGTTCTGGAACTGCTTTAGTAAATGCCATTAATAAAAAACGAATTGCCTGCTTTCATCTTAACAGATTCCAGACCACCTCCAGTGAACATTGCATTGCTTAAACATCTGGGAGGAATCAGAAGTTTGACTTTTCAGAAAGGTGAAATCGCACCTCTCCTCTCCCAAAATTTGAGGAATCATTCATGTTTCTATCATAGTTGTGCATGACGTACAACCACTACGTAGTTTTCTGTTCTGGAACTGCTTTAGTAAATGCCATTAATAAAAAACTAATTGCCTGCTTTCATCTTAACAGATTCCAGACCACCTCCAGTGAACGCCAACGCCGAGTATCCCAGGTAAGATGTTTTCTCTTTATTCACAGTCACGTATGTTTAGTCCCAAAGGATACACTACACCTGCGACAGTACATTTCCAGCTGGTCTGGATTATATGTCTCTACAAGCGTACTAGGGCTGAAACGATTATTCGACATTATCATCAACATCGACTATAAAAAAAAAAAAACAATTGTCAACAAATGTTAAATAGTCGTTTGATCTCATATGACTTCATATAAGAACCTGCAATAACGCGGTTTGACCAGTGTGGCGCTGTAGCACTGGAATGTAATTCAGCATTCCCACATGCAATCCAATAGAGGACAGCACACTTATGAGACATGCAAACGAAGCTGGACTGGAAGGTTTTACAAAACTACAAACAAAAAAAATGTCATGTGTAAAGGCCCTGATATAGTAATGGTACATTTCTTTTCCATTCTTCGCTAAGGGGTAAAGGAAACTCAATATACAGGTTACTTTCCAGAAGGCCAACAATTCATTAAAAATGTTTTTTTTTATTGGTCTTATGGAGTATTCTAATTTGTTGAGATAGTGAGTTGGTGGGTTTTTGTTAAATGTGAGCCAAAATCATCACAATTAAAAGAACCAAAGACTTAAACTACTTCAGTCTGTGTGCATTGAATTTATTTAATACACGAGTTTCACAATTTGAGTTGAATTACTGAAATAAATGAACTTTTCCACGACATTCTAATTTATTGAGATGCACCTGTACTCAATCAGCGCTTTACTGTATCCCACACTGCTGAGAGTGACGTTTAGATGAATATGTACATATGTGCTGTGCGCTTTCCACTCAATAACAAAATAAACACAACAAACAAGCCAGTGTGGGAAAACAGCAGTTTAGAAAGCATCTGATCATAGCGATGGTGATGTTTGCACCAGTTCACGTCACGTTTATTTATAACACTTTATCCAATAGGCTGCTTTAAAGCAAGCAGTTTTACAGTATTAAACATCAAAAAACAGCATCACTGTCGCTTTAGTTAGAATTACAACTTGATTTTCTGCTATAAAGCAGCTGTATAAATATAGAATATGTATAACTCAATATTTTAACAAATTGCTAAGGCTTAATGAGGTTTCCACGGGTCCTTAAAGTCTTAAATTTAGTTGCATCAAATTTAAGGCCATAAAAAGCCTTAAATGGTACCAAAAAAAAAGTCTTGATTATCTCAAGACGTCTTAAATTTGGGGACGAGAAGACAAGAATCACGATATGGCTGAATTAAACTAAGACTATGATTTCATTGAATAAATATGAACGCTGCAAGTCAAAACACGGCAGGGGTTTTTATATGAATGTATTTCTGAAGGGAGCCGACTGTCTTCAGAAAAGTATTGATTCCATTTTTATGTCATCATACCTATGTATAATGCCTGATAAAGTGTAGTTTTGAGTACTGCCGTTACTGGGGAAACTGCTATATTTCTGCCGTTCCAAGGCGCCGCCTACTGGCAGAGAATGAATTTGCATTTTCAATAAGCCCATCTGCTGTTTTTGTTCAGACCAGTGTGAAAATCAACCCATGTTTTTATGCAGCAAACATGCAGTAGTAAATGTGAACCGGTGGATTGATAAAAAGCTAATATGCCTATAAAAATCAGAACGATTAAGACAGTAAGATATATATATATATATATATATATATATATATTTATGTTTTAAATATAATAATTTATACTTTTGACTCATCCCTTATATTATAAATTGGTTTACAGGCTGAAATGTGAAGCTTATTTTATGTAATTTTGTTTTTGTGAAAACCTGTATCTGAACTAAGCTTTTTTTTTTTTGGTCATTTTACAGTTTAATATGCTGCCATAGACATTGCCCTACCCCATTCATACGGGATTCATTTTATTTGTGCAGCTCTTAAAAAGACTTAAATTTGATTTAAAGGGGTCATGTGATACGATTTCAAGTTTTCCTTTCTCTTTGAAGTGTTACAAGCTCTTGGTGCATAAAGAAGATCTGTAAAGTTGCAAAGACTAAAGTCTCAACTTTTATAAAGAATATCTCTTTGGATTTAAGTCAACCACGCCTACCTAAAACGGCTCATTCTAACACGCCCCCACATGTCTGTCACTGTGGAAATATTAGCATAATGCCGCCCAAATGTGCACGCAAAGAAAGAAGGCGTGGTTTCAGGAACAGCAGTAGTGTTGATGCAGCCATGTCAGGGAGACTCTGTGTGATTCAGTGCGAAAGCAAAAGCACTTTATTTGGCCTTCCGGAAGTAGATGCAATTAGGAATCATTGGTTAAGATTTAGTTACAACAGAACAGCACAACCCAGATGTTCAAATTTGTGCAACGCATTTTATGGACGACAGTTTTTTGAACCCAGAAGAGTACAAGGCTGGCTGTGCAAAGGCTATTTCTAAAAAAA